GAGATGAATGATGGCTTGTTTTAAAGTGTTTTTTACTGCTTGTTCAGAATATGTTAATATTTTAAGGTGCATAGTCTGGGCACAAGTTCACAGGGACACAGTTCAAGTTCAAATACATTATTATAAAAAGTCTGTGACTGTCTTATGGGTTTATAATTTATTTCAATGAGATGAGTGTTTATGTAAAAGTTATATATTAGGACAAGTACTACTAGGCACCATCAGTCATTTTTTAAATCTGCATCATGTGAAATTCCCTGCTGTCTTGGCAAGCACAGAATTTCGTCTCCCACAGAAGACTTATGCTGGCTATACATTCACATCCGTTTTCAGGCCATTTTAACCGGTTTCAACCATTTTTAAATGGCAAAAATGATTGAATCATCAAGGAGACCTATCATTAACAATTCTGACTATCTGACAATTGGGTTTCTTTGTGTTATTGTTTTGCCCTTTTTCAAAGCTAGCTAAAAATGGCTGAAGTCTCCTGAAATTGTCATGTATATGACCAGCATTATTGTCTACAAGCCTCTCTATATAATGAAAAGCAGATGTTTTCATGTTAAAGGAGTCATATACAAAATAATTTCTTAACTGCAATGCTTTGCAGCTGCCGCTAGAGCATATTTTCCCAAATCAGTTTTTTTTTTGTGGCTCTGTCCACACAGCCATGTCATTCATTCACAGATAGTTTGGTAGGCTCTGTGAATGGAGAAACCACAAATCCTATCAGCCACTGCAGCAGAGGGACTTCAAGTTCTCAATAGAATACAAGTGCACTGATATCACCACACATGTAGTCTGTGGGAGCCAGAGCATTGCACCTGTGATCCTCTAATCACAGTTACAATGCTTTACTGGCTCCAATGCAAACAATTAAAGCACAGTTTTTTGTTTTTATATGAAGAAGTATACTTTTATTACTTTTTTTTCTAAAAGGTGGAATATGCCTTTTCACACACTTGCTAAAATCTGAGTTTTTTTTATAGAAAATAACTCTAAGCCCCCAAACAGTTATGTATTTTTTGAAAGCAGAGGCCCTGCAGAATACAAAAATGGCACCTGCATTTTTTTTATGTTGCCCGATAGTTGCGCAAATGTTTTTACAAAACAATTACGTACAGGCAGGTCTACTCACTGATGGGAGGTAAATGTAAAAGTAGTTAAATGTAAAGAAAGTTTCAAATGCAGTTTTATTTACAGATGTTCCCTATTTGTTATGGACATCACTGAAAATACAATGTAAATGTTTAAGCCAGGTAAATATAAAATATTGTATATACAGTAAACCCCCAGTTATCCGGAACCCATGGGGATCGATAGATGCTTAGAATTGGTATCTGAACATCCCTAATGAAAACCATTGTGTCTGAAAGGAGACAACCACTTCTATGGTCTTTCGTTAGTGGTTCAGGTATGTCATGTATGGCAATTGTATTTGTAAAACAAATTTATATATTATAGAGCATATTGTATGTATCCTGTATATTGCACATACTTTGAAGAAAAAAAACTGTATATGAACAAGCTACTTATATAGGACATATTTCTTGTGTGGAGGCACAATCTAAGGAAGTAGGAACATTTTAACTCTAAAAGCACAGTATTTCGTATCTGTGAATCATGCATCTTTATTCACAACCTTATTAAATATACTGCTAATTATAGGCTTCACAACACAACATGAGGCTGAAGAATTAAACTTTTTTCCTTATCTACTAATATCTACCAAGGACGCTTTACATAAATTACAATGTGCTACAAATTGATTTCAGCATAGTCTCTCATATCCTTAATACCAGAAGTATGTGTGGTATTACATGCAATTATTAAACATGTGCTCTATCACTGCACCTGCAAAATACCTTTATGCACCCTTCCAGAGTGTGCCTCTTAATCACTGACAAGTATAGGTGTGGCTTGATCCAAAGGAAGATGAATTAACAATTCTGGGAAAGAAAAAACTGAAAGGGGAATGACTCAGTTAACAAGCATATTAAACATATTTTTAATTAAACTAAGGGGGTTATTCACTATGGAGCCGAAGGATACAGCCGTAGCTTTCGCTGATCATTGGGCTCTCTTCAGCCACCTCTGCCCTTCGGTTCAGTTGAACAGGAAAGGCTGCTGTACAGGCTATTCAAAATAGCCCATACAGCAGCTGAAGGCAGCTGAGTGGCTCAGCCCAGCCAACGGCATATGTTTTGGCTCGACTGAGCCGAAGTGAAAGCCGAAGCGTGGAGAAAGGTCAGCCGAATCTCCACGCAAATAAAGCTGGGCAGAGCCAGCTGTGATCTCCTGGCACGCTCCGCCCAGTTGTAATGACAGATCAGCGTCCCCAAATGAGCTGGGGATGCTGATCTGTCATTAAACAAAATTAACTGGGCGGGAAGACTCTAGCAGATGCCAGTCAATATGAAGCAGTTGGGCAAAGCTAGCTGTCACTGCTAGCTCCAAACAGATGTTTTTCTTTTGCTGGCATCTTTGCCGGCTTTTTAAAATCATTTTTTAATTTACTCTTTTTTTTCTTTAAACTATTTACATTTTTTTACATTTTACTATTTTCTTAAATTTTTTTACATTATTTTTCAACTTTTCTTTTTTTTTAAATTCACTCACTGCTGTGTATGAGAATAGGGACGAATGGCAGCGAGCGAGCTGCCAGAGCTTTGGCTCAGCCGATCCAGATGTTGGATCGGCTGAGTCGAACTCCTTCTGCACTTCAGCTCTGCATGTTCGGCTGACTGAAGGCAGCTGAGGTACGGCTGATTTTACGGCTGAAATGAGGCGTACAATGCTGAAGTGAATAGCCAAACAGCGTTCAGCTCACTTCACTTCAGCTGGGTTATTCACAACCGCTGCCTTTGTAACTAAGTAAATAAAACTAAATAAATACTTACATTATGAATACATACAATTCCTTTTACTTTTCACTGTTAGCAACCAGTACCACACATTGTTAGCACAATACAGTGGGAGGAGCTTATCAAAACTGGAGCAGGCAGAATCTGGAGCAGTTGCCCATGGCAACCAATCAGATTCTCTCTTCGGTTCGCTCAGTTAAGCTTTGAAAATGAAAGAGAGAAGCTGATTGATTGCCAACCAGCAACTGCTCCAGATTTTGTCTGCTCCAGTTAAGATAAATTCCCCCCAGTATGTTTTTATGGGATTTGTCGGGAAGAGCTAGATGAAACAAACAAAGAATTATTAAGAAATTAAAAAAAGAGGTAAAGAAAAACACAAATGTACACTTGTGACTCAAAGTCAGCAGATAGCAAGCTTACGCCTGCTATCATTTGACAGGGAAGAGCCATGCCCCAGTTGGGAAGGATCCCAACAATATTCTCCAAATCCACTCAGGCTGCCTAACTGACAGCTGGCTCTACATCTCTGTGCACCGCTCTGACAGTCACTGCTTTACACTGGGAGCAGAGAGGGAGAGGTGACTGGGGAGAGGGAGAGGTGGTTGCTTCACTCTTGGCATTAGAGCCGGCTTGGACAGGCGCCATATCCCATGCCGGCTCTAAGAGTTGGGGAGAGTATGTTTTATTCTCTACATACTTCTCCTTTTAAATATGATCAAATACCTGATTATCAGAACCGGATTATCTCTTGCGAAGTTTTTAAAATTGTCAGATGCATTTAAAGGAAATCTATCATGGTTTTTGGTACATTTTTTTTTAAATTTGCTTTTACGTTTTTTAACTGGTGTTACTTTTTTTCAGATAGTGGATGTTGGTGTTAATGAAAACATGAAACAAGTCAAGAAGTTTCCAGCAAATAAAGCTTGTACTATACATACCATAGTCAATATGTACAGTGCAAGCATTAACTGCTAGAAATGTGTTAATATATTACATTTTGGCCTCTAGGCTGCAGTCCTATTTGTGGAGGCTTCTCAACTGTTTAGCTATGTGAGCTATAAGGGTTAAATTAGCAATGGCTAAGATAGCAGAGAGAACACTTACCTGCTCCTATGGCCAAACCATCATGAAACCAAATTATTCTATTACTTAATCCAGAGCAAGATTCTGCAGTGTTCCAGCTAGTGAGGGAGCACCATTTCAGGAACAGGTGAGTGTTCTCTTTAGCGAGCCATTTCCTGGCCTTTTACCATTAGCAACAGGATTGGTAATTTGACATGGTACTTACTGTAGGTTGAGTGATGGGCTCCTCAGCTGAACGGAGGTGCCTGCGGAATACTGCTAACATCTGATGGAGCTTAGTTCATTAGTTGGTAAACAATTCTGGAACATTGACCCCAATTCTGAATTAGAGTATCGTATCACTTGTTGGAAATACAACAGTACATACTGTACTGGTATAATAACGTTCTGAGATAGAATATGTATTTTGAGCTGTAGATGGCAGTGTAGTGCAATGTTACTCTCTATGTGCATGCTTATCTATGATACACACAAAGCTGTTTTTCTATCTATATGTTTTCCTCACAATACTGTATTCAGATGTAATATTCTTCTAAGAAAGTAAAACTTAATTCAGCATTCCTCAAGATCTCAGTGCTTCATCTAAACACATAGCAAACATCACTAAGGTTTTCATGCCAACTTCTGGGCTTTGTTGTGAGTATCAACTAATACTGATGTTTCTTCATGCATGTTTTCAGTTTTTTTAAATGTTTGTCTCTTTGTTCAAATATCTACTATAATATACATTTCATATGCCCAAATTAATGACCCAACCTTAAAAATGTTGCCCATTAGCAAAGGATATTTTGTTAAGTTGTTTATTTTTTTAAATGAATGTGGCTTAATCTCACCTGCCATTTAACTGAGGGGTCTATTCACAAAGCTGCCGAGGGCAGCCGAGTGAATGACCGATCAGAAGTGAAGTGAGCCGAACACTGTTCGGCTATTCACTTCAGGCTGGTACGGCAGAGTATGTATTCCAAACTGATTCAGGTTTGAAACCTCTCATCTAGAGAACCATTATTGTATTTTTATAACATTAACCTTCATTTGCTGTTCCATTTTTTTTAGGTTTCATGCCCTGCAGAAAGTCATCATGTATGGATCTGTTTTTTCATTTTACTATCGACCCAGGACACCATTTCTTTTTGACACACACCTTGTTGAAATCATCATTATTTGTCTGATCACTGCAGCCACTTTTCTAATTATATTGCCTGGAATCAGAGGAAAATTGGTAAAAAATATCACTATTACTCTTCCCTATCAGCATGCTTGTTTAGTTAGTTAATGTAGAAAGTACTGAGGCCAAAGACCACTAAATAGAATCCTCAGAATTAGGTTGGTAATGGCAGCCAATGTATTTTTATTGTGACAGGTTTACTTTAACCTTTGCTGTGTTTTCTATGATAATTGCTATTTTAGGCTAGAGGGGCTCATGAGTTACAACTGCCATTGTGTGTCTATGGAATATTGTAACGGTAAATAAGCAAATGTATATGTATTTATTTAGAGAGCTTACAATCTACTAGATTGTAAGCTCTAACGAGCAGGGCCCTCCCAACCCTATTGTTCTGAAACTGTATTGTACTGTAAATTTGTATTGTAACTGTACTGTCGCCACTATTTTGTAAAGCGCTGAGCAAATTGTTGGCGCTATATAAATCCTGTATAATAATAATAATAATAATTTATTTATTGTGTATTAACATATTCTGCACTGTGTTTTATAAGAAAATACAAAGCAAACATTTAGGGTTAATAAGACCTTCAGTGGTATGTCCCTGTCCCAAAACTAGCTATACAAAAAAAAATAGTTAAGTGCATCATTTGTCATGGACAGGGGATTTTGGACTTGTCACAAATTATTGGTTGTAATAAATGTATTTATTTTTAGAACATATGTTAATATGATACAACTGTTAACCCTCCTTTTTTACAGAGAACCTTCTGGCTCGTGAAGGTGCTGACAAGTCTCTTTATTGGCACTGTGATTCTAAGTAAGTTTTTGCTTGAATTGCTGCTTATGCTAAATAAATCTGTCTCAAAGCAAAACACCAATTTGGGAAGGCTATCATGGAAGCTGCTCACTTTGCATATAGCAGTGCTAGGGCAGTGAAGCTATTCATAAGTGACTGACCCTCAACCAGTGTGCGGTGCGTGATCTGAAGAATGGCCGTTTCCATCAATTCCCTTTTTATACAGGTACTTTGCTTCTTAAAAGTCCCATTAGGCAATTTCTAAAATAAACAGAAACTACACTTCATCTTAATTGTTTTTTAATCCTTCCTAGATAGCCAGTAGTTGTAAAGAAGTAATATACAGTAATATACTGTACTTGGCCTTTTCAAGCCCCATACCTGTGTAAATTAATCTTAAGAAGGCAGATCTCATTATCAGTTGTAAACTAGATTTGAACAATGGCCATCCTAACAAAGGGTTAAAGATCTAGAAGCTTGATTTCTGCATTGTATGTTAACAAGGGGAAACTTATTTTGTCCTCAGTATTTGTATGGGGACAGGCTCACTTTATTCAGAGTAGCTTGCAGTCTGCCAAAAGGCCTGGTCCAAAGAACCATCTTAAAAAGACATAGGTTGTTATTCACAAAGCTGCCGTAGGCAGCCATGTGAATAACCAACCCAAAGTGAAGTGAGCGCTATTCTCGGCTATTCTGCTTGGTACCTCTGTGGTACCGAGCAGAATAGAAAAACAGTTAAGAAAGTAGAAAAAAAAAACCAGCATAGGAATGCATAGCTAGATTCCTATTGGATATTTCACTTTGTAATAGCTGGCTATTGCACCCACCCTCTGCTGCTGTCAATCACTAGAAGAGGACCTGATGGAGAACTACAGGTCCCCTCTGCTGATTGACAGCTGCAGTGGGTGGGTGCAATAGCTAGTTTGCTATTGGCTATTGCAAAGTGAAATAACCAATAGGAATCTAGCTTTGCATTCCTATGCTGTTTTTTTGTTTCTGACTGGCGGCGGCCCCGATGTCAGAAAAAAAATAGCAGGGAAAGGTATACTCTGCTCGATCGAGCAGAGTAAACTTTTCCGGGAGAAAGTGTTTTTCTCCCGGGCGGCCGGGAGCCGCTATCTAATAGCGGAAGACTCCCAGAGCACCCGGGATAGTTGGGATGTCTGTTATGATGAGAACTTAGCAGAACTGGCTTTGATATCACCGCAGGCTCCACTAAGCTCTCGTGACAGTTCAGCGTCCCCTGGTCACTGGGTAACTAGGGAACGCTGAACTGTCTCTGCATGCAAGTGGCGGGAGCCAGCCGTGAGATGACGGCTGGCTCTGACCAGCTGTCAGTAGCAGGCTGTCGGCCGGCCAGCTTCGGCTTTCACCTCGGCTCAGTCGAGCCGAAGCATATGCCTTTGGCTCGACTGAGCCGCTCGGCCAACTTCGGGAGCTGTACGAGCTATAGTGCATAGCCTTACAGCAGCCCTTCAGATCTACTGAACCGAAGGGGTCCTGGGGCGGAAGCTAGCCGAAGGATCAGCATAAGCTACGGCTAGATCCTTCTGCAGCTTTGTGAATAACCGCCATAGTTTTATTATATTCACATAACAAACATACAATGGGGTTTTCTCAAATTTGACTGCAAAAGTGGAAATATACTTTAAGTTAATAAAGATATTAAACATGCCTATTTTAGGATGCCTTAGATCCCTTCTTCAGGCAAGAAACTACTAGGGTTTTTGGGAAAAGACTTCCTATGAGAGTAATTTATAAAGTGGAGTAAGGAAGGCTATAAGAAGGTATATAAGTTAATTGTCGGAAATTACCTTAGAGAACATTACTTTAAAATAATAATTACAGCCTATATTTCTACAGTGAACTATTGTGTGTGGATGGATACTAATAACTGAAACTTCTTCAGGCTTTACACAATTCTGAAAATGGTTCTGAATCCCACATATTTATAAACAAAGTTATAAGAAGGAGCAGTGAAATATAAATATTTAAAAAAAATAAAACCTTTCATGAAGGTTATGCTTTAGGGATATAGAAGTATTATCAGGGTTATTGACTTATAGATAGGAGGTCCAGGCCCAACCTCACCTTAAATGAGAGTCCTTTGAAATGCCCTCATACCAGAGAAGCAATGAAATACAGTTATTAATGAAATACGGTTATGTGTCTTGGCACACTTGAATTATATTTCTTATTGTATTTGATATAGCTTTCATTATTAGAATTTAAGGGTGTTATTTGGCTAACTGACTATGAAATACGTGGTCCAGGCAAATTTGTCACCTTGGTAAAAAGGAGAGTCCCTTTCAATTGTATATATACAGTATCTTTGATTGAATACTTGAGGAAACACAGGCTGTATTGTCACAGGTTAAAAATGCAATTAAAATCATCAGTTCCTATTTAGACTCTAGAGTTTAGAATTTTTGTTTGGGCTTACATTCTTTTCACAGGCTCCCTTTCTGTGATCTGAAGTTCCCTATCAGAACCATAATCTTCAAATCATTTATGCTGTGGCCTCTTCTGCAGAAGCCACAACATGAACATCTGTTTTGTTGTTGTTGTGAATTCATGAAGGTTCATTCGTTGGTGGAGGGTTTGACCCATTTCTCCAACACGGGGTCCTTTAGGACATTTTGCACACAATATTAGCTATACCACATTTGAATCTGCAGCAAACGTACTTTGTCTTCTGTATTACTGCTGTGGATCACAGGTTTCACATCTCTTTTGCATGCAGAGAGATGTTCCATTTAGCAGGCTATTTAGAGAACTTCTCACAATAAGCTGTCTTAGATTGAGTGGCTCTTGGATTATTTCTCAAAGTTTTTGTATTTTTGCAGAAGAAGCTGGAGCTTTTTTTGTGATCTTTCTTAGAACTTCTAGGTGTGGGTTATACTGATTAAACGTTTCAGTCTGATTGTAGTGTAAAAACTGGTTCTGAGGTTGTGAATTACTTTTCTGATTTGTGGATTGGATGTCACTGGATTGTATCCCTGTTTTTTTAAATCCCTCCTAAGTTGTTCCAGTTTTGGCATTTCTGTCTGTGGTGGCTGAACATATCCTATTGTATCTTTTGGACTGACTTTGAATGACAGATACTTTTATGTGCCTGGGATGAAAGCAGTTATGCCTGAATTTTGTGGGGTGGTCTGTGGGCTTTCTGTACATAGACGTTTGCAAACTTGTTCTTTCTATGCATATTGTACTGTCCAGGAAGTTTATTTCTGTCTGGGAATGGTTTAAAGTAAATTTTATTGGGGGTAGAAGTTGTAGTTCTTGTGAAAAAGGGAAATATACTTCTTGCTTGCAGTCCGTATAATCAAAATATATCAGTGAAGTGAAAGTAGGCCTTCGGTTTATGGGGCATGCAGATAGGTACTCCTTCTCTGTTTTAGTCATTCAACAATTTGTGTATTTGGGAAAACTGTGATCCCATTGCCACTTCCATCTGTTTCAAGTAGACGTCCTGGCTAAAAAAAACCTTAGTTGTTGGGTCAAGATGAATTGCTGGAGCTGAATAATTGGTTTAGCAAACTAGCCTATTTTCTGAAAATACTGCAGACAGTCTACAATACCATTATCACGGGGAATGTTGGTATATAAAAACTCCACATCCATGGTGGCTAGTTTGGTTCCTTCAGGTACAGGGCCAATGACAGCAATTTTGCTTGGTTGTGTCTTGAATGTAGCTGGATGTTTCACGGACCACTGGTTTTAGGATACCCAGCTTGAGATATTTTCAGTGAGCATTCCAAAACCTGGGATTATGGGTGTGTCTGGATTCCACTCTTTTTGGGAAACATGTAAAGACAGCCCATGTATGGTTTCTCAGGTATTAGGGTCAATATCTGATTTCTAATTCCAGAAGGTAGACTTTTTACCATGTTTGTGAGTTTTTGTAAAGAATTAGTTCTGAATAAGAGGTTCACAAAACAATATGTTTTTTTTTACATCAGAATTCAGAAAATATTATGTATTATCTCTCTAGTTCTGTGGATTTCATTTTGATTGATAGGTGTTCTTCACTGTCTAAAGAAACCTAGTCACAGTCAATGCATATCCTGATATCCCCATTATAATGCAAATTACAAATATAACCTAATTTTCTCAGATAGCATCAGTGATGACATTCATAAAAAGAAACGTAGGGAAAAGATAGAAAGATTGATATAGACAATACAAATTATTTAGGGTGCCTTGCTCCATAGGGTACAAGATATTTTGCTCCTGAATTTTTTTTATATCTCTCTTAATAAATCACCTGGTAATAATCTGCTGATTCAAGTCTGAGAATTTGTTTTTGTACCATATGGAGAAGAGCATCTTAAAGAGTCTGAGACAATGTTATAACAGTTTCATGTTTGTTGAATAACTAAACTCATACATATACTGTGTGTTTTTGAATCCTTCTCTATAGGTGTCAACTTTACTCGTGACTGGGAGGTTGGATCTGTAACTACCACAACTGTGTACAAGTCTTTCAGTCATTCAATGGTGAATGCTAGTATTGGAATATGGGTTGGCTTAAAGGGTTTAAATATTACTCTGACAGGTATTTTTTTTCTAATGCTTTGCTAATTATTTTAATAACAATGCATAATTCAGTGATGTTAAGAAAATAACAATGTTTCATTAGATGCCATTATTGTTTAAAACCTCTCATTTATCAAGTAGATGGAAACCTGAATGGATGATCTTTAGTTCACTAAAGCACTGTGTATAAGAAACAATTGCAATGGTTTTTTTTTCTTTTAGGAAATACTGTGTTCATCTTTTGTCATCTTGTTTTGAGACTCAGTGCTGTTGATTAAGGCTGCAGCTAACGATTATTTTAATAATTGATTCGTTGCCCGATTATTTTTTTGATTAGTTGGTTACAGCCCTACTGTTGACCTCCTCAACCCTTTTGCAGTCACATCCTGTATATGTGCATTTGCTCCAGCAGCAGCTGCATGTCATTAATCAGGCTTCCTGATGGTGACAACAGTGGAACATGCTTGTGCAATGAATGTCCGCATAGTTGCTTATAGACTACATCAGAAGCACATGTGATAAGTTGAAAATGCAGGAGAACAAGTGGCAGAGTGTTGTTACCCATTACAGGAAGTGTCTAAACAACAGGATTACCAAGTATAAGTTATTCTATTGAAAGCTGCAGATTTTAAAAGATTGAAAATTCCTTATGAAATTACATTAATGATTATATGATATTTTGGTTATTATGTTCACATCTACTTTAAACAAAAAAGTGACTGGCTGCAAAGAGGATAATACATAATATTCACCTCTCCTGCGTTTACCACTGATCTTCTCTGTATTGAAGAGATACTGGTGCCTAAAGATATCTTTAGAATCCCATATTTGAGGAGTGTTAGATGGTCCCCTGCTTTCTTTTGGTGGCCCTTTCATCACTACAGAATTTGGTAGTAGTCTTTGGGTTGGTGGACTGCACCACTATGCACAATGGGGGACCAGGTATCTGAAACTCCTGGAACTGTCAGATTCTGAAGATTGTTCGGATATCAATATCTTTTCAGTACAGCAAAGACCAACAGCTGGTGACAGGTGAGTACATCTTTATTAAGAATGATAACCTTCACAGACATATCTTTATTAAGGGACAGAATCACTTTTGGCCCACTGTATTTAGGAATACAGTTGTATGGTTTACAAATACATATCCCTGCATGATATTCACCTAAAGTTTAAAAAGTTGTGTTTCATTACTATATACATGTGATGCAGTGGTAAATGTAACATAACCTTTAAACTGTTCTGTGTGAAGCTTACAATTAGAGTGCCACCTTTGGCACCTAACACACTTTTCATATTTCAGTTTCCAGCACCTGCTAGAGTTAACTAATAATCTGAGATCAGATCTCCAAAAAAGTACGTGTTTTGGCCACGCCATATGACTTGGGAGATGTTTTGGCAGCACACATAGGCTTAAGGAGATGCTTTGGCAGCACACATAGTTCAGGCATTTATCAGGAAAAAGGGAAGGAACCCTAATAATAAATAATTGGAGATTCCAAACTTGTTAAAGCAATTACATGGTAAAAGAAAGGGTTGTAATATGTTAACTTCCTATGAAAATGCTCTTTATTTTTCCCCGTGCCTTGCATTCCACATTATTGATAAATAGCAGTATTTGAAATAAAAAATATTGTTGAAAAATTGTGATTGTGTCTTTCAGCTAATGTGCAAAGATCAGCTGAAATTCTGTACATGCATCTCTGCTTTACTATGTGCATTCAGCATGCCTGAAGTTATGATAAAGACATGACCTTGCAGCTGTAGAGCACCAATACTCTTTGTACATTCTGTATAGTCTAAAATTGTGGTTGCTATGTCTGTGTCCCTAAAGGAGAATGTTACTAGCTGTCCTTTTGTTTTCTGTCACTATAACTCTGCAAAGAAGCATCGGCACATAAACATTCACTTTGCGGTGTGACATGTAAACAACAAGCATTAAAACACAGCTGCTGAATAGATGTGGTTGCTAGGATATCGAATACCAAAATTTACTATCATCTTGAAAAAATTTACTTCTCAGAGGATGAATTACCATTTCTAGTGTTGTTTGTTTAGAATACAGTTGATCATGGTATATATTAGAATGGTGGACTGTGTACAATGGGTTGTATAAAATAAGTATGAACTGGAATTGCTGCAAGGTCAGTAATTTAAAGTGACCTTAAACTCAGGAGTTAAATGTCATTCAAGTACACTAACTAATAACAAAAATGTATCTTATTTGTGTGTCACTCGGCTGTAGATCTTCAGATCATCTTTGGATTGGTGCTGATACTGTTCTTCCTTCTGGAGGATGACTACTTTTGTTCCCCATCGTCCCTGTGTGTGTTGTAAAGTAGCTATCACTCCAAGTTCACTCATGGGATGGGCTACAATATCACGTTTAGTTCACTAATTTGTATTTAAGTTATAGTTCATGACATTAGTGAGCTTGGAGCGGTGGCTACTTTACAACACATACATGACCCATGGGGAACAAAAGAAGCCACCCTCCAGAAGGCAGGATAGTGTCAGCACCAATTCAGAGATGATTTGAGGATCTACAGCCGAGTGATACACAAATAAGATACATTTTTGTCAGTCAGTGTACTTGAATTCATTTTTTAAATTTAACTCCTGAGTCTATTAGTATCACTTTAATAATGGAAATTGGATCTCTTAGTTGCCAACATTCTTAAAAGAAACACCTTAAAAGAAAAGTGAGAGGTCAGAAACTGTCTTTGCCCTACTGACTAAAGTCTTGAGCAAGGTGAAAGATTTCTCTGAATTCCCAGATATATTTTCACATGACTGTAGTTCTCCTCTTGATATGTTTAAAGTAGATATGTCAGATATCATTTTTATGCTTCCCTGTAGTTCTTGGACTACAACCAATTAAAACCTGAAAATTAAAAATATGATGGGATATCTGCATACCAATCCCAAAATGCAGAGTCTGAATAAATGTTTATATACAGGTGAAACTCGAATAATTAGAATATCGTGCAAAAGTAATTGCAGTAAGTGCTGCAAAAGGGGCCCAAACCAAGTACTGAGTACATATGCATGCTTGTACTTTTCAGAGGTCCGATATTGTTCTATGTACAATCCTTGTTTTATTGATTGCATGTAATAATCTACTTTTTTGAGGTTGTGGATTTGGGGTTCTTGGGGTTTTCATGAGCTGTAAGCCATAATCATCACAATTATGACAAATCACGGCTTGAATTATCTTGCTTTGCATGTAATGAGTCTATCTCATATATTAGTTTCACCTTTTAAGTTGCATTAGTGAAATAAATGAACTTTGCACGATATTCTAATTATTCGAGTTTCACCTGTATCTTCCAGTAAGCAAGAATGGCAAACCGATACAAGTCCTGCTCCTGTGGTACAGAAATATAGGTCATGGTGAAAACAAGGATTATAATGCTGCTTCAGTGATAAGGGCCACCCTATTATGAATGGCACTATTTGGATGAAGCATAGTTGTTGTTATACCTATTGTCAACCTGACCTCTACATGAGCTATATTATAGAACAAAATGCTATGTGTTGAGTTTTTTTTCTTACATACTTTATGTTGCCTGGAGGGTTATGGAAATGATCTTTATTGGCATAAGCCTGCCCTATACTAATTAACATTTAAGAACACAATGCCCTCTATTGGTTATCTGAGAATCTACAAGTCATACTTATGTCCCATGCTATAGGTCTGGGATATAGTATTATTCATACACTCAAATGGGGTGAATTTATAATGTGTTCTCCCAGCGTTTATCTGGGCAAATGATGATCGCAGTGCATTACTGCCACTAGATGGAATCAGGAGCTCAGGAAATTGTTATGCTCATAGGCCCATCTTGTGGCAAAAATGACCTGCGCATATTGTTCACTCAGCTATACACTGAGTGAATGCATTATAAATCAGCCCCTTAATATTCATACCCATTAATGACATACCAGGCAGCATATCATCATCACAATATTTCCAATGTTGTAGTCTCCATATCAGGGCTTGCAGCAGGAAAAGGTATTAGTTGTGATGAAAACAGACTGCTAACCTACCCCTTCAACATATGGTTAGCGCATATGGTTAGCACATGTTCTATTACTGATTCAATGCGGTTTAGGCACAGACTGAATCTGATTAGTCATATAACCCAGGGCGGGGCAATCTGGATACTCCAGCTGTGGTGAAACTACAAATTCTTCATGCTTCTGTCTCTAGTAGTAATGTCTGTTGCTGTCAGAGTGCAATGCCTCATGGGACATGCAGTTCTGCCGCATCTGGAGTGCCGAGGTTGCCAACCCCTGATGTAAACTGTATAACTCATATGTGTCAGTAATTAAAAGGATGAACTGGCAACTTTGTATAAGTACATAGGTATCAAAGGACCTGCAATATGCTGTGTAATTACAACCATTACCAGAAATTCTGACCCACCCAGACATGTTTCTAAAAGGCTGTTTTGCTCTTTGTTCTTTTAGGGCATCCTATTCATCAATTTAATGAAACTATTAATTACAATGAAAGGTTTTCCTGGGAGACCAGGATCCAGTATGACAATGACTATCAAGATGGATTGGAAAGGGGTCTCCCAAATCCCATATTATATGTGGCTGAAAAGTTTATTAGCATTAGTCCTTGCAGACTTCACCAGCAATATTGTGCGTCCACATATTATTCATCGGCACTAATGTGGTAAGATGGTTTAGCCTGAATGCCATCCAGGCACACGCTGGTCCTGGCAACATCCCTACATGCAGATTAAAGTGTATGCCTGGGCAAAAAAAAAAAAATATTCACTACATTTCTGCTATACATGCACATTTTTTTATAATTTTTTCATAATAAACATGCCATGTTTATTATGTTTACAAAAAGCTGCAAGCAGTGAAAAATACCTGTTGATCCTAAAAGAAATTAACTTTTTTTATTTTGTGGTATGTAATTAAATGAGCCTGCAAAAAAACCCTAATTTGCAAAATGCCTTCATGGATCATACACGGAAGGATATAGCACTGCACACGTGTGTATCTTTGTGCACATGTGCAGACGTCCAAGCACAACAACTTCTCATAAATAGTTTTTCATATGGTGTTTAACTTGGTGCATGCATTTTTTATTGCTTAACAAGCCAGTCACATTTGCTTATTTTCTTATAATTCATTCAATGTACAAAAATGTGGACATTAAATGCACAGAACAAACCAGGGCCATAAAATACACATCATACATCAGTGTTTAATCAACTAGGTAGGTTCAGGGATCACAGTTGCTATACAGGTTTACATTTGTGCACGAATGTGAGCTTGTAATGCAAGTATTCTACATCAAGTTATCCCTTCTCCTATTCACTGGTTTTAGTAAATCAGCCCCATTGTCAGTGACCATTTTTTCTAGTATTTATATTATTTATTATTATTATTATTTAGGGCTGTGGAAATTAAAGATTCATTTATTGATTAATCGTTAAACTTTTTGATCGATTAAAATTATTTTGATCGCTAATGAAAACACTTACCTCTCCACCAGCTTCCTGGAGTTCCATCGGCGATGGACTACAGTACAATCTCACATTTAGTTTACTAATTTGTGTTAAAATTATAGTCCATCACGGAAGTAAGATCAAGGTGGAGTTGCCACTCTCCCAGTCTGTCCAATCGGATGAATGGGGCTGGCTGCTGCATCTTACCTAATTAACAAAGGTAGGATTTTGGTCATCAAAATCTTCAAACATTGATAGCTTTGTCAAGTTATGAATTATTAGTTTCAGCTATTCTGCTATGTGTAGGGAGTAAACATGGATGCCTTACACCTAGTAGAACCAGTACCATCATAAATAAGACCCAAATTATTAATAACTCTCCCATAGTCTATAATAAAGCTTGCACATTTACAGTCTGATATCTCATTACTGTGCTACCAAGCTTTTGCAAAGAATATATATTTGTGCACTGTATGGTATCAGAGTTATGGGTTATTAAACTTTTCAAAACTTTCAAGGAACAAAATACACACATTTGTTTTAGAGAATAAGTGGGAATATTAGACTGTGTAATTCAGAGGCAGATGTTTAGACTGCAGTACAGTGGGAACATGCCCAGGGCCTAATAGACCCCTGCTGTGATGGTATACAAATAAACATACGGTCTTCCTTCGATACGGCAGTGCTAAAAAGTCATGTATACTCTGAATTAACCTCGACCTGACAGACCTGTGCTGTAATGTTAAAAATGTTTATGCAAATAAGTGAAACTGTGATCCAGACTTAAGTAGCGTATACCGGGATATATTTTCTTTATTCAACCTGCGGGCTGAATGAAGAAAATATATCAGATTCCTCCATCCACGCTAAAGCAGCGTAGATGGACATATCCCCCCGCTGTTTACATTGTATTCTAAAAGGGGCTTCTGGCCACTGCCATATGCCGGAACGGTGCTTGCAGCTCATTGGATGCAAGCACCATTTGGCCCCAAAATTACAACATGTTATTTTGGCAGAATTTGATCTAGTGGTCAACTTCTACTAATGGAATAGGGTCACCAACGCAGAAATTTTTTGGAGCATGTGTACCTTGCTTTACTCATTCTTGGCAGGATGATGACAATGAGCATTCATGTGTCTGCACCTATCTGATCAATATCACTTCCTGACGCAGTATAGAGACATTTCTTTCTTCCACCCACTGCTCTTACCTCTGTCCTGAACTGTATTACTGACAAAAGGGTCAATTTCCAAAGGAAACACATTAGGATAAGTAATTGTGGTTTTTTTTTTTTTAAAGTGACAGTTATTTTCACGGTCCAATGAGATTTGAAAATTACAGTCACATAGCTGAAAAAAGTGCCTCAGGCTGGAATTAAAGAGTTTTGAAATGCCTTAGCCTGAAATAGATAGTCATCTAAAGAACAGCTATGCATAAATCTCCATATATAACCTATAAACAAAAGTCTCAGTTTATAAAGCTGGGCAGGCTTCTGATAGGGAATACGCTCATCTTTAACACCAGACACCCAGGACAATTTGTTATCTGTCCCTGCCCTTCTAAAGAAGATTAGTAATCATTATGAGCCTATACCCACCCCAAACATCGTCTTGTATTTATATCATCTTGATTTAGACATGGAATGTAATATGAAATGCACCAACTAGTTCACAAGAGCAAAAATGTAGTTACCCCTCCTTCATAGATACTCAGTAATGGCATGCTGAGGAATGCCCACACACAGCTCTTTCAATGTTGGATTCTTCCACATATGTGTCATTATTAAAGTGTATATATGGTCAAAATAGTTTTGCTTTTAGTTTTGGATACAGAAGAAAAAGGTTTAAAAACCACTGTCAATTTAATTTTTACTAAGGAAAGAGATTCCCTTTCATACCAGGAAGTGAGAGGAAATCATTCCAAAATTAGGGTAATTCCCCTCTTAAGCAGATGTTACCTGACCAAGTGCCCACCCCTAATTAGAAGAAATTATACAATTTTGGATTTTTCTGCTCATTCTGTCTCAGTGACTATGGTCCAAGATAAATAGAAAACGGTAAAATAAATAGAAAAAGGTAAATTTACAAACAGGAGACACAAGCAAAACTTTAGGGATTCCAACTAGGGATGAGATTTGGGTTCGCTGCTACCATTAGTTTGCAGCAAATCCTGTGTTTTCAAGGTACGTGGACCGGCAAACTAAAGCAGGAATTCACTATTCTTTGTAACCATAATGCACACCAGGCCTTTGAATTTATGTCAGCTGGCTTCGAAAGACCATCCTGGGAAAATCCATCCTGTTCACTATAAAAGGGTGAGGTCACAGCAGCCTTACTGGCAGTGTGACTTAGCTGTGATAGGGAAAGCATAGGAAGGGCTGCAGATAAAGTGATTTGATAAAGAGAGAAATGAGTGTAGGGCTTGCAGGCACTGGCAGGTCTGTTGTAGTAAGAACTTACTGAATGCCCTGTCAGTAGCAAAATGCGGTGTATCTTAGAGAATATGGAAGTGGAATGAGTGAGGCATTTTTACCTTTTTTCATTTTTTGTTACATCTTAACCACCTCCGGGCCGGCCGTAGTAAAAAAACGGCCGGCCCGAGCTCTCTAGATCTGACCGGGCGTCTTTAGACGTCCGCTCAGACATGCCCCCCCGCGCGCGCCGCT